CCCCCGTAATGATTTGCAAAGGGCCTCAAAGAAATCATTGGTAGATAACTGAGCGCGAAGGGTTGTATCTTTGGTCCCGAAAATAAGAAAGTCAAGGAGCTACCAAAAGAAGTTAGTACCTAATCTTTCTTACCCACCAGCGAAAGTGAAAGACATTAAAAAGGGACTGCAAGTGAGCAATCTTACTCAGGATAAATGCTGAATGAACTATGCTAAAATACTTCGGATACTTAAAGTTGGTAACCATGCATCACCAACTTACCTTTTCTTCCTTTGTTAGTATATATTAACAAAATTATGCAAAACAATTATTTCGTTGTGACATCTTAATGCAGATAACCTTAGTTAATGCATTAACCAACCCCTTCCATTACCCACTTTGGTACCCAACCAATTAAAGTGCATTCAGTGTCTTCTTTGGCATATTTCAAATGTATGATTACTTCAAGAACTTCTGAGTTTTTTTTTTTTGTTCAGCATCTCAAATTATCTGTTTCCCTCAGTTGCATAACTAAAGCAGTACTGTGTGTTTGTTTTTCAGATTCTGAAGTTCACTATGGAAAGATGGGAAATTTTGCTTCCTACCTAGGGTCTATGAAGAGTTAAAAATGCTGATAAGCATAACTTGTGTTGTTTATTCTCTTTTGCATTTAAATTTGAAAACTGAGTTTTGCACAGGAGATGTAGCTCGGTGGTGAGGATTCACTTAGCATACTCAAGGCTCTGGTTGGATGCCCAGCACCGGTTTGTTTGCATCAGTGAAAATACACGATATGCCTCTCTTAGAAGTTAATAAAATTCAACGGGTAAATATATCTTCCTTTCAAAACACTAAGTACATTGGTTTTTAAATTGCCAAAACACAGTGGGAACAGTCAAAGGTGTATGCAGATGATGGCAGTTAAAAAAAGTTTTCCAAGATTCATCTTATGTTGTGAAAAGAAGCCAGGAGAGTGGCAAAAGCCATTCTTGCATAAATTCAGCCATCTAAAAGCCTCAGAAATTTTGCTGTTCTTCTGCCTGGAATGATGGTAAGTACTAGAAAGGAAACAAAGTGCTTACCATTTCCTTTCTGCCCTTAGGTTTAACTGTAGGGTTTAGGCTAATGAATCTTTATAAGACATTTATATGAGCAATAATCTTAGTTTGAGTTACTGTGGAAGACTGATTTATTGAAAGAAAAATAACAGATTGTTTAGAAATAGTGTGAAAAATGGGACCAATATAATATAATGGATTCTATAATTTGTCATGTTATTGAGTGCTTTGAAGTGTTTTAGCCTTAAATATAATGGATACTCAACCATAAATGTGTGGTAAAAAATAATTGGTATATTTTAGAAAGACTGTACAAGTTAAGTCTTGAATAGGAAAAAAAAATTTTCATGTTTTTTTAGAAACATAAGGCAAGAAAAGGAAAACATTTTACCAGGGGAAAAAATGTATTTTCAGACCTTCTCTTTGATTAAGGAAAATGTTTGCCATAGTGTACATTTCCCTAAGTGGACACAGATGGACATACCATTTGGATTTGGCTACTGTGGGTTTGTTGTTTGTTTGTTTGTTTGTAACAATCTTTTAATTCATTCCAGATAATAAGAAAACTTATTTCTCATATTTTAGACATTCTTAACTTTGAATTGACAATAGTTAGGAAATGAAAGTCTCAGGTTAGTACCATAGCTATGGTATTTGTAACAGTTTGACATAGATTTTGCTTCTGGATTTACTATCTGGCTTAAGGTAAATGCAGCAAATGTCTCAGTGTCAAATTTAAAGTCTAGCTAGGCAGTAGTGGCACACACCTTAATCCCAGCACAGGAGGCAGCTCAAGGCCAGCCTGGTCTAGAGACGAAATTCCAGGATGGCCGGGCTACACAGAGAAACCTTGCCTCTAAACTTAAATAAATAAAAGTCTAAATGACTTCAAATTATTTTACCTAGAAAAGCATCTACCACCTTTTTTCTCTTTTACCATCTTATTTCTCAGATTTTAACAGGTTTGGACAATTAAAGGGACACATAGAACATGTCTTTGCAAGAAGATATGCTGATAAACCTTGTTGGTGAACATAACCATTTCAGGAAATTTAGGTATGCAGAGTTGCTCAACTGTAACCAATTATGTAAGTAGGTATGTGTTCATAGGCTTTTGAGATGCTATCTGCGGGAACTTGGTGTAAAGAGTATTCCTCTTGAATTGTATCTTTTTTTATAAACGGCTTTATTGAAATGAAATTCACATATGCAGTTCACCTATTTAAAGGGTGTAGTCCAATGAGTTTTAGTTTGCTCAGAGTTCCAGCCATCAACACATTTATACAAGAAAACTATACAAAACCATGCACTTGTAAGTATGAGGAAATAATTGTGGAAAGATTTGGATCTTTCTCTAAAGAGGTAATATACAAAGCTTATTATTATGAGTAAAGTTGACATACAGTGCTTCAATTACAGTTGAAATACTGCAAGTAAACAGCATGTTCCTTGTATGTAATTCGTGGGTTTTACTGGAAACACTATTGTGGAATAGGTAAGTGACAATTATATGATGCAACACTGTCAGAGTTGAGAAACCATTGAGGGTGATGCACTGTTTACAATGATCACTTTTTCTGTATGATTATACTGGGTATTAATTTTAGTCTAATGAGGCTATTTCATTTTCAATGTTCATGTTTGTGTGCCTTTCTAAAATTCTGCTTTTTTTTTCCTATTTCTTGCTGCTTTTGAGATGGTTTCTGAACATTTTTTCCCCAGAAGGCATTGTTTTTCCATGAAGGCTTACTAAATTTGTTGTTTTTCATATAAACTAAATTAACAATATAGTAAAAAGTCACCAGATTTCATGGTTTAAGGAATGAATCGTGGAATAGATAAAAGTGCATGCCAAATAAAGATAAGAGGTTTGAATCTGAAAAATAAATAATGGCCGGGCAGTGGTGGCGCACGCCTTTAATTCTAGCACTCAGGAGGCAGAGCCAGGCGGATCTCTGTGAGTTCGAGGCCAGCCTAGTCTCCAAAGCGAGTTCCAGGAAAGGCGCAACGCTACACAGAGAAACCCTGTCTTGAAAAACCAAAATAAATAAATAAATAATGGGAGGGACTGGCAGAATTAAAAGGGTTTCTTTAAAGATGTTAGAAGCAACAACCTATTTATTTTTAAAGGTTTATATGTATGGATGTTTTGCTTTCATGTATGTGCTTGCTGCCCATAGAGGTCAGAAGGCATCATATTTCCCTTGGAACTAGAGAAATAGATGGTTCTGAGCCACCATGTGAGTGATGGGAACTGACCCTGATCTGCAAAAATAGCAAGTGCCACTGAACCTTCTCTATCTCACAACTTATTTAATCCCTCTCTTAGAAGATAAAGTCCCATCCTAATTCATTGCACAGTGGTCACCTACTTCCTAAAGGAATCTGAGGACATTGAGCTCCCACTCAGCTGAGAAAACCAGCCAAGGAGACGATCTCTGAAATACTTCTGCAATCATTTTCCTGCATAATGCTTAATGGTTTGGCCATTGGGCCTGATGGCACTAACCTGTAATCCTAGGACCCTGGAGGTAGAAATGGGGAAACTGACTTGGAGCCCAGCCTATACTGCCTAGGGAATTCCAAGCCATCGTGAGTTACATGGTAAATCCCTGTCAAATCATAGACAAAATTTTGTTGAATTCTTTTTCTTTTCTTTTCTTTTTTTTTTTGTGTGTGTGTGAATTCTTTTTATTTTCATAATTGCCATTTTCAGTTCTTTACTGATTATATAACCAAACTTGTGTTTTGTGCATTTTTTGATGCTACTCAAAAAAAAAAAAAGACATAAATAGTGGCCATGAACCTTACTATTGAGTAATTTCATTCTAAACGGTGGTATTTGCTCTTCATGGGTATATCATTAATGCACACCAACTCCAATTGTAATCCTGATAACCACTATTGGAGAAAGTATTAAATGTACAGTGAATGGGGCTGATCTCTGCCCAGCTACCTTTATGAATGTCTGTCACTGATAGGAGAAATCCATAATGATTGAATTTATTAGTTTACTTAATGTGGGTAGTGTGTGATTGCGTGAACAGGAAAGATGCAAAAGGAGAAAAGCAACTGACAGGCAGCATAAGCCTCTGCAAATGTCTTACATTCATTTCTAACAGTTAGGAATTAAACTTTACATTGCCTGAAGTCATTCTCATCCCATTGCTTAGTGGGTTTTTTTTTTTTTTTTCCCTAGAGATTTAACTGGAAGGATAAATACAAACGAAAAAATAAAAAAAAACACTAAGAGTTACATAAAATGAAATACTTAAAAGCATCAGAGGTATTACAATGTCCTGGCACTATAGTTCATCCAGTTTGTTTAAATGTAGGTCCATTTAATCTCATGAGATGTATATATTCTGGTATGGGTATAACCTGGGATATTTCTAAGGAAAGACAATATGGCTGCAGGTTAAATTACTGTGCTGTTAATTAATACATTTTGAACAACAAAAAAAAGTTGCAAAGCTTGTCTAGGATTTTATATTCAGACTACTTTCTGTACCTGGCAATTATAAGACTGAATCTACCAATCGAATACTTCAGCCACTGGTAATAAGGGAGACACATTAATAAATGTAACTTGCTTTGAATCTGGACTCCAAGATTCAAAGAGCCACTTGTCACCCACCATCACCCCTTTCATTTTTCAGAAACAGAATCTCTGTAGCTGTGGGCTGTCCTGGAACTACATAAACCAGGCTAGCCTCCAACTCACAGAGATCCATCTTGGAACCATTTTTTTCTGCTAAGCTAATTGTGGTAACTAATATCTGTGCAGTGGTCTAGGATAAATTTCAAATAACCTAAGTAGAAATAAGTTCTTTTGTTTTGAGACAGGTTCTTTGTACATCCTTGGCTGTCCTGGAACTCACTATGTAGATCAGCCTGGCCTTAGACTCAGAGATCCTCTTGCCTCTACCTCCCTTGTTCTGGGGCTAAAGGCATGCACCACCAAGCCTGGCACAGAAATAAGCCCCTGTTGACTATCATAGTTGAGGGAAGTAAATTTTTAGAGCTCTGTTAAAATTGGCTTAAAAAGTATTTGACAGGTGGGAAATAATTCTTCTGGTAACACTGGAGATATTAAAATGTGTATGCTCTTTGAGGTCAAACTAAAGTTTGTCAAACCGTTTCTACTATTGTACATCATGGTGGTTAAGTATATTACCTATAATCGTCTATCAGCAGAAAGTTGGCTTTGTCATTTAGTAGGCGTTAGCAATAGAAAGATGAGTCTCAGTTCCATATGACGTTAGCTTATTCATTCTCAGCTTTTACTCATACAAAAGTTATATGCCTACTTCATTGATTTTTCCAAAGAATTAAGGAAATACATGAAAATGCTTAATATTCAAAGGGCAGTATTGTGTGGTGCTTAGGACATGAACTGAGGCAAAAATAACTTGCACTAGGAATTACTAAATGCTAAAATTTACTTAATACTTTTTAAGCATTAAGGTAGATTTTCTGTATCTTAAGTTACAAATCCATGTTCCTTTGGTTTTGACTGCAGTCAGTACTTCATTTAGTGATATCCTACATAATAGACAATTTACACTTAACCAAAAGTTCCATCAAAGATTGAAATAAGGAGAGTGTCTGAGTAATATAAGTAAACCCATTCGGGGAAATGATGTGCAGATACCTAAAGTTGTGCAGGTGGGATGGCCTGCTTAAAGAATGGCTGTATATAGGAACTCCACAGTCCTAAGTGGGAGGGGGGGGGATCTTAATGTCTAGACTCTTCATTTCTGTACTGACTATATGGCAATCTAGAGGAATGAGGTTTGAATCAGTCCTTTAAAAATGTATTCAGCACAATATTAAGTCCAGTAATAGGGAGGCAGAGGCAGTCATATCCCCCTGAGTTCAAGCCCAGCAAACAGGGCTACATGATGAGATCCTTTCTCAAAAAAACAACAGAAAACACCAATGTAATAACACCAAAGTCAGACTTCTCAGTATAGGTGGTCCTAGTTCACTTGAGTTTTCCCCTTTCCCTCCCAGACACTTGTATTGCCACTACGGCTTTGTGAGTGCAAACAAGTACTACCATTAAGCTATATGGATAGATAGCACCCTTTCTACTTTTTGAGTCACTGACTGAATATCGCAGGCTAGAGTTGAACTTTGAAAATTTTGATTGTAGGCCTAGCTTCTAATTCAGTCTGCTGCAGTCTATAGAGCTCTTCAAAATCAAGACTGTTTACATGCATAAACTACAGTGCATTTGAATTAGGAAGAAAGTAATCAAATAACTAAAAAATTAATCTTTACAGAGAAATAACATGATACCTAGCAATGCCTCAGCCAGTGTCCAGCAGACATTTCAAGCTACCTGAAGCAGTGTTATAAGGAAATATCACTTCAGTTGGGATAGTCATGATTACTGCTAATACTATAATTTGTTTACATTAAGTTTCTTAATAAAAAAGTACAAATAGCCGGGTGGTGGTGGCACATGCCTTTAATCCCAGCACTAGGGAGGCAGAGCCAGGCGGATCTCAAGGCCAGCCTGGGCTACAGAGTGAGTTCCAGGAAAGGTGCAAAGCTACACAGAGAAACCCTGTCTTGAAAAACCAAAAAAGAAAAAAATGCAAATAAGCAATGTATACTCGCATGCCTTTAATCCCAGCAATGGGGAGGTAGAGGCAGGCAGATATCTGTTGGAGGCCACCCTAATCTATAAAATTGAATTCCAGGAAAGCCAGGACTTTTAAGCAGATAAAAAGCCATGCACTGAAATTTACCAGACAAACGATACATGTGAAGTCTGTACATTTAGTAATGTTTTTATTTATTTGAGAATTCAGTACATTTTGATCATATTCTTCTGCCAGATTCTGATTAATAGAAGTCACTGAAAGTAGTAACTTATAACAAGTTTTGAGTCACTGTCCAAAAGCCCTTGATTTAAAACCTTTGTTAAGATTTTTAATAGCATACCTTATATTCATTGATTTCATACATGTAAATAATATAACTTAATTCTAGTAACTATTCTCATTACTGTATCCAAGGCCAATTAAGCCAAATATAGTGGTACCTTGCATTCAAAGGTTCGGGTAGTAAGACAGACACCAACCTGAGCTATATAGGCCTTATCTCAAAAATAAATAAAATCTCAGCACAGAAAATTTGTCCCTGATCCCAAATAATTCAAAGTGCTTATAAAATTAACTTAAGAGGCTGAAGAGATGACTCAGTAGTAAAAAGCAACGGCTGCTCTTCCATAGAACCCAGATTAAATTCCCTGCACCCACATGGTGACTCCCTGTGGGCTCTAAGTCTTGTTCAGGGGATCTGATTCTTTCTTTTAGACTCTGGGCACCAGGCATAAATAATGCACAGACATACAAGCACATAGTAAAAAAGGAAAAAAAAATTAGATGCATGAATTTAAGGAATTGTTCATGATGAAACCTTGATATTAAACTCACCCATTCATTTCTTACAGATCCAATACAGGTGTCTGGAACATGTGGGTGTGGCTGTATCTAGTGGACCTGGTACATGCATACTACAAGCTTGCCAAAAACACGGAGAAAGAAGAGCAATATTAGAGTATATTCAATTCAAGGAGCATCATGGAGACAGTACATGGCAATACTCTGCTCAGTAAATAAGCTCGGAGTTGTTTCTAATGTAAGAATATCTTAGCATCCTAAGGTTACATTCTCAACAGAAAACAAATATTGACATATTTAGCTATCATTTTCAGTACTTGATACAGGAATTACCATAGTTTTGAAATGTAAGCTCAAATCCAGACCATGCAGGTAACTGAGCAGGTAAACCTGAGTTTGAATCCCAGAACCCACTGTACAAGGACCTCATGAAAGTTGTCCTCTGACCATGTGTCTGCCAACCTGAACTCGCGCACATATACATTATACACTAACAAGTAAAAACAAGTCTGCCTGGCAGTATCTGTTAACAAGGAAAGGAGGTGAGAATACAACTGATTGGTTCAACCTAAAGTCCACTACTCAATCAGGAGGACACAAAAAGAAAATTGCATTCTTGAGTATTTCCACTCTCTGCATATAACCCAAAGAGGTGCAGCAACAATTGTCAAACAGACCTGGTGACAAAAGGCATACCATCTGGATGGCTTCATAAACAGCAGGACTTGGGAAGTTGGGGGCTTAGAGCTAACTTATAGATACTAAATCCATGTCTCAGAAAATAAATCCTGGTTGCTGGGATTAAAGGTATGTGCCACCATTCCTAGCTTACAACTGCATACATTTTAAAGACTTTTAAATGTATATAAATATTTATGCTGCAATAATTTTCTCTGTTTTGCCTTCACAGTGTAATCATCCAACTCTACTCCAAGAAAAATAGTTGCAAAATTTTGGAGCTTGTGCTTATACCTCACAATTCAACAGTTCTTAATCCCTCCATACACAAATATGTTTTCATATGCTTGTCCTGAAGGAAAAGCAATTTAGGCAGAAACATTCTTTGGACAAGGAAAATAATAAAGGTGAAGAATGATTCCCAAGCCCCTCTGATCCACAAAGGTAGCCCTAGATCAGTGTCTAATTTTCAATTGAAGAAGAAACAGTTTCATTTAACAATTAAAAATAAGTACCAAGCCAGGCAATGGTCATGCATGACTTTAATCCCAGCACTTGGGAGGCAGAGGCAAGCAGATCTCAGTGAGCTTGAGACCAGCCTCGTCTACAGAGCTAGTTCCAGGACAGCCAGGGCTGTTACACAGAGAAATGCTGTCTCAAAAACAAAGTGAGTACCTGACACTAAAGCCTGACCCTGTCAGTACTGATACAACTTGCTGTGAGTGGTTCTTAGTAACAAAAACATGTATATCTATAATGCCCAGTGCTCAGGCCGGTGAGCACATTGTAGTGCACACATGGACACTGTTACTGTAAACTCCAAGAGCTTGGGCTGGAGAGATGGCTCAGAGGTTAAGAGAACACTGGCTGCTCTTGAGTTCAATTCCCAACAACCACATGGTGGCTCACTCCAAGAACTTGAATGCTGCATTGTTACTGATCCTAAGCACATAAAAGGAAGGACATGTGACCAATTATTTCCCTTTCAGAGCAGTTGTCTACTTGGGTCATATGGTACAGTAAATACAGTGGATATGTCACAATCTCAAAATAATGGCTTTGAGACATGGTTTTACATTGTAGCCCAGGTTGGCCTCAAACTTGGCAATCCAATCTGTTTGCCCCTGAATTCTAGTAATTTTTTTTTAATGAGCGTTTACATTTTATGTGTATGTAGGCTGGAGGATATGTGTGTAAGTGCTGATGTTGGAGGAGGCCAAAGCTCTCCCTGGAAGTTAAGGTACTATGAGGTACCTAACTTGCGTGCTGGAACCCAAACTCCTGCCCACTGCTAGAGCAGCGTTCTTTGTTTTGTTTTTTTCGAGACAGGGTTTCTCTGTAGCTTTGGAGCCTGTCCTGGAACTCGCTGGGTAGCCCAGGCTGGCCTCAAACTCACAGAGATCCACCTGCCTCTGCCTCCCTAGTGCTGGGATTACAGGCATGCGCCACCAACGCCCGCCTGCAGCGTTCTTAACCACTGGGCCATCTCTCCAGCTTCTTGAGAGCTACTTTTTTTTTTTTTTTTTTTTACTTTAGTTCATTCATTGAGTCCATATGATCCTACTTTTTTCCCCCCTGAGCCTGCTCCCACCCAGTCTTTTGAGACAGGACTCAAAAGTTTCCCAGATTAGCCTATAATTTAAAATCCTCTTGTTTCAGCCTTGTAGGAACTGGGATTACAGGCTACCATACCCTGTTCTAAAAATAAGTAGAAGCCAGGTGTGGTGGTGTGTGCCTTTAATTCCAGCATCTGGGAGGCAGAAGTGGGTGGATCTCTGAATTCAAGGCCAGGTTGGTCTACATAGAGAATCCCAAGACAGCCAGAGCTATGTAGACGTTTTGTTTTGTTTTTTGAGACAAGGTTTCTCTGTAGCTTTGGAGCCTGTCCTGGACTATCTGTAGAGCAGGCTGGCCTCAAACTCACAGATCCACCTGCCTCTGCCTCCCGAGTGCTGGTATTACAGGTGTGCACCACCACCGCCCGGCCGGCTTTTTTTTTCTTTTTTTTTTTTTTTTAAGATATCTAGGAACAAATGTATACTTTTATCACTTGACCAGTAAATTGTAGTCTACTAATCTGAAACTAATAGAGGTAGAAAAGTTGCCTTCAAAATGTATAATACCAACTGGGCAGTGGTGGGCACACACCTTGAATCCAGAGCCACGCAGATCTCTGTCTTGTCTACAGAGCAAGATCCAGGACAGGCACCAAAACTACACAGAGAAACCCTGTCTCGAAAAGAAAAAAGTATAATACCCTCTCCAAATTAATTACAATAGCACAACAGTTCAAATTTCTAGCCCTTCTTTCTTTCACTGCAGCATGACTTGTTCACACACTAGCAAGCTGCATTTAGCAGCCAGATAGTGTTGGTACGTGAATATGCCCTTTTCTTCTGTTTGGCATGAACACAGTTATGGTGTGATTGTTTAATTCATATGTTGTTAAATTACAAAACTGATATGTCCCTTAGTTTTGTAATATTTGGCTTGTCACATTTTATAATTTTTGTAAAATTTTGTACTAGAGGTTTTTGAGATCAGGAAATACTGTAGATTTCCTAATGAAATCCTTTGGTCTGGGTTGGAAACTCAGTCCCTGATTCCCAATATAACAGAACCTTGCAACAAGGACAAGTAGGACAGCCTGTGTATTTAGGGGTAGGATGTGTGAGGGATTGGAGAGACGGCAGATCAGTCATGAGCACGTGCTGTTGCAAAAGTCCCAGTGCCTTTATCCAATGCCACATAACTGCCTGTAACTACAGTTCCAGGGGATCTGATGCCCTGTCCTTCATGAGCATCTGCATGCATGTGATGCACATACACTCAGACATAAATAAAATTTTAAATGGGGGCAGGGAAGAGCTGGAGAAATGGCTCAGAGGTTAAGAGCACTGCTTGCTCTTCCAAAGGTTCTGAGTTCAATTCCCAGCAACCACATGGTGACTCATGACCATCTGTAATGAGATCTGGTGCCCTCTTCTGGCCTGCAGAGAATTTCTGGAGACAACACTGTATATATATTTAAAAAAAAAAAAAAAAGGCGCTGGGCGTGGTGGTGGTGCACACCTTTAATCCCAGCACTGGGAGGGAGAGGCAGGCGGATCTCTGAGTTCAAGGCCAGCCTGGTCTCCAAAGTGAGTTCCAGGAAAGGCGCAAAGCTACACAGAGAAGCCCTGTCTAAAAAAACAAAAATAAATAAATAAATAAATAAAAGTTTGTCACAGCATTGTAAAAAAAAATTTAAATAGGCATTGTTAAAGTTTGTGTCATTATCTATTGAATGCCATGACCCTAAAAAACAATACAGTATCAAGTATATCCTCTAAAGATATGCCTGCAAAATATCTCTAGAATGAGTGAATGAAAAGGAGTTATGCCCTGAACTGAGTTTAATTGGTTTTTAGATTTCTAAAACTGAGTGCCTTGTGATCCTGGTGGCAACAGAGGTCATAAGAGGTTGTTAGATTCTCTGGAACTGGAGTTCTGGATGGTTGTAAGCCCCCAGGTGAGTGCTGGGAACTAAATGGTGGTACGCAAGAGTAACGTGTTCTCTTAACTTCCTAGCTCCAAATTAATTTTTAAATTTTTTTGGGGGGGTGGGTTTCTCTGTGTAGCTTTGGAGCTTTTCCTGGAACTCACTCTGTAGCCCAGGCTGGCCTTGAACTCACAGAGATCCACCTTCCTCTGCCTCCCGAGTGCTGGGATTAAAGGCTTGCGCCACCACTGGCTAATTTTTAAAATTTTTAATGAGGTCCGGAGGAATAGTGTAATGATACTATGCTTGTCCAAGGCTCTGGGTTTGATCTTCAAATGGCTACATCCACTGATTGGCCTTTTATTCACAGAGATCTGCCTGCTTCTGCTTCCCAAGTGCTGGAATTAAAGCATGTGCCACCATGCCCAGTCCTGATCTATGTTCCTATTATCTAATAAGGTTTTCTATCAAAGCCCCAGCAATAGAAAGGATATTTAAGGATCTGCCTTTACACATTCTAGCATTAAAGCTCAACTAATTGTGTAAGTAGGCGGTTCTGTGATCAAATTCTACATAATCTTTGCCTCTTACTTGTCCACTTACATTTGTGAACGAAACTGTATTGAGGAGTTGAGGCTGTAGCTCAGTTGGTAGTGTTTGCCTAGTATGCACAAAGTCCTGTATTTGGTCCCACCACTGCAATAAACAGGCATACCTGTAATTCCAGCACTCAGGAGGCAAAGGCAGGAGAATCAGAAGTTCAAGGTCTTCCTCGCCTATTTAGTGAACTCAGAGGCTAGCCTGAGATTCTGCTCTTTTTTTTTTTTTTAAGCTTTGCAATAAAATGTATCACTAAGTTGTAAATTTCCTTTAAAATTGGGAACTAAACCATTTCACATTCCCTTTTGGGCTCAAAATACGTTTTCTGTTTCTTCAGGAAATATTCATTGGGTATCCACTAGGTGTCAGATAATACAAAGATAGAGATTCTGGAGACAATATAAACAGATATCCCATGAGAACCAAACAGCCTTACAAAGAGATAAAAATAGATCTGCAGGCCAAAAGAAAGTTGTATAAGTACTATACTGTCAATGGTAGAACTATTAATTTTATACTGTGTGATCATCAATATCAAACCAAATGCATGCTGGCCTAGTTTATGTAAAAAGCCTTAAGGACTAAAGAAGTCAGGTGACGTGACAGCACTATCAGTAGGAAGTTGAGAATAATAAACTCAAGATAAGCTTCCATGCAGGATGCTAGGAGTATAACCTACAGTCTTCTAAGCCAACCACTTTTTCTTTATTTGGTTCTGTTTTTGTTGCTTGCTTGGGAGCCTGAGGCTCTGACCTCTCTACTGTTAAATTTATCTTAATTCCCATCTGTCTTTCCTAGCTCTTGCTACTAATTTGTCCATTCCCTTATTAATGCAAACTTTAATCTTCAATAGATTTTCTGCTACCAGGGAAGTAAAAAGGAAAATTTTCAAAGATATCTCCCATCAGTGATGAAATCTCTACCACTGCAAAGTTACACAGAGTAGTGCTGCACTGCGCCTGTCCTTGAACAAAATGAGGAGCACTGATAGACTATGGAGCTCCTTTTTCTGTTTTTTGTTTGTTTGTTTAATCTTAATTTTTAAATTGACATTAGGTTTTACGCTCTTGCTATATGGTTCTGTAAATTTTCACAAGTAACAGTCATGAAAACACTACACTCAAGTTCCGGAGCAGCTTCACCCCCACAGCAGTCTCGTGTCACCTCATAATTTTTATAGTTAAAGTCATTTTTTCAAAAAGCCATGTTTGAACGTTCCATGTATGTTTATCCATTATTTTTATTTTTGTTGGGTTTTTTTTTGGGGGGGGGGGTTGTTTTTGTTTTTGTTTTTTTTTGGTTGTTTTGTTTTTGTTTTTGTTACTACGTTTCTCTGTGTAGCTTTGAAGCCTTTTGTAGAACTCCCTCTGTAACCCAGGCTGGCCTGGAACTCATAGAACCGCCTGCCTCTGCCTCCCAAGTGCCGGGATTAAAGGTGTGTGCCATCACTGCCCAGCTCTATTTTTATCTTTTTAACATAGCATTTCATTACACCAGTTTCCCATAAACTATCAGACATTAGGTCAGTGATCTATTTGACAATTCCCATGGGTTGGCAGGTGTCTTTTCCACTTCACCATTTTTGGTTTTGGGTTTTTGGTTTTTTTGTCAGACTTAGTTCATTTTTGGCCTGAAGCATCAACTCTTCTGCTTGACCACCTTGAAGCATGTCTTACAATTTTTTAACATCTGTTTTTACTTTGACTGTATCCATCTTATCATTGCTATTTTGTGTGTTTTCCATAAGCTGCATTTTTAGGGAACTGCTTAAGAACATTAAGAATCTTTGTGTGCAATATTGTTAGCTTTTTGTGTAGAATATCCTACACAGCCATTCCCACTAGGACAGCAGTCTTCAACTAACTCAACATGACAGTGTCTGGAAACCACAGTACCTCAGTCCACTGGGCTGTGATTTTTGTTTTGTTTTTTATTTATATATTTATTTTGAGATAGGGTCTCCCTATATAGCTGGAGGTGCTCTGGAGCTCACTATGAGACCAGGCTGGACTCAAACTCACAGAGATTGGCATACCTCTGCCATTTGAGTGTTAGGATTCAAGGTGTGTGCCACCACGCCTGACATTATTTCTTATTTTAAAAATACATCTTTTGGAGTTGGACAATGGCTTCTATGGTCATACAGATAAGGAAAGGGCACACCACTTTATTGCTACTCATCAGCAACTTCATAATTTAAGCTTTAGGGAAATAAAGGATTCAAGAGAGGCAAAGGATGTATGTGTTGGGTCAGAATCTGTTAGTATAGAATGGAGTCAAGAGATTTGGGAAGATAATAGGGCCTGACCATTGGATAGTGTGCATGGAGATAACTATATGTGTTTATGTATTGTGTTTTGAGTAATATTAGATCCCCAGATTCTCAGACGAGGAATGAAAAAGATGAGTCCTGAAGAAGAGTAGCCTCTACATCTGTACAGACCCATATTCTAGTGTTGACTCTGCCAGTAACTTCTTTATTGTGTTTGTTTGATTTTGTTTTGAGACCATAATCCTCCTGTCTCAATTTTTAAATTTCTTTAGTAGGTTCAGTCTGGCTTGTCAGTAGTGGTGCACATCTTCAATCCCAGGGCTTGGGAGGCAGGGTCTCTAAATTCAAGGCTAGCCTAGTCTACAGAGTGAGTTCCAGGACAGCCAGGGCTACACAGAGGAACCCTGTCTTGACAAACAAAGGGGGGGGGTTGGTTTGGTTTGTTTCTGATACAAGGTCTTAATGATGTTGGTTTCAAGCTCAGAATCCTTCTGCCTCTGTTCCCGAATGTGCTGTTATAGGCATGTGCCACCAAGCCTGGCTTGTCTTCTAAATTTAACTAAAGAGACATCTGTAGATAAGATCAAAGCAAATCTATCATAATCTTCTCTTCAAATTGCATGTGGTTAGATCTTAACAACTGGTCTAAGTTGAATTTAAGTAGGTGCAGTTCTCTGACCCCAGTCTCATTTCCAGAATCTGTGAGTTCAGTGCTCCTTTTAGAGTCTGGGAGTTCTGTGGGACCTACAGCTTGCCAGTGCTCCTCCTAGAGTCTGGGAGTTCTGTGGGACCTACAGCTTGCCAGCATTCTACCTGTCTTCACCTCATATCTGAAGGTGCTGTTTTTCTGATTTGATTTTTTTTTTATTTTTTAGTCTTTATTCATTTAGTACTTTTTATATACTGGAATGTTGGGCTTTTAACCTACATTATTTAAGGATTTTTACAGTTTGCCATAGTTTATGGGTGTACAACATGGAGATCGCACCATACCTCTCCCATCCTGTATAATGTAGTCTGACAGTACAGACTCATTTCAATGATTATTACAAGAAGTCCTTAAAGAAGGGAAGAAGGTGGAAGGATGCATGTGAGATTAAATTGATATGTGAAAATAATTAACTTTTGAGATCTACCATGTGCTAAGTACTTTATACATGGAGTACGTGTATGTTATTATTGTTTGAGACATGCTCTCTCTATGTAACCCTGGCTGGCCTGGACTTGCTCTATAGACCAGACTGGCCTTGAGTTTAAGGGATCAGCCTGCCTTTGCCTCAGTGAGTAATGGGATTAAAGGTCATTATGCCCTAGGGTACTGTGATACACTCTTTCTGGCATTGAGATAAACAGATTTCACAAATGCAGCCTACATTATATTGAAAACAACAAAACTTCCAAAACAAACTTATACTATAAATCACTTGAATTTCTTTTCACTTTGTATCTTTAGACAAAACCTCACTCAGTTGGCCACCGGTCACAAGTCTCCTGAGACAGACCTTGAACTTGTAGCCCTACTGCTTTAGACTCTTGAGAGGCTAAAACTACTAGCCTATGTCACTAGGCCTAGCTAAGTCACTAGAACTGTTCAGAATATTTGTTTCTGCTGACCTCCCCTTTAAGAACAAAGACAATGTGAGCCTTTGCATAGTGTTGAAAGAATCAGGATTTTTCTAGCATTCTAAGACAGTACTTTTTAAAGGAGTTTAAGAATATAATAGGCTACAGTGTGTGTGTGTGTGTGTGTGTGTGTGTGTGTGTG